CACTCAGCTACTAACTGAAAGTTCAGCAGTTCAAATCTACCAATGCCTCCACAGGAGAAAGATGTGACAGTCTGCTTCCATATGATTACAGCCGTGGGAAGCCTATGGGATGTTCTGCTCTGCCCTGTAGGGTCACTAAGAGTCAGAATCAACTCAATGGCACATGGCTCATGTGCACGCACACACACACACATACGCACCCATACAAAGGAGGATGTCATTAGAAAAGATGGTGCTTCGAGAAGACTTGGGATATGGGTTGGGACAGGGGTATCTAGATGTGTCTGGTGGAGGCCTATGGGAGCCCCTGGGGGGCATGGAACCCCAAGGTGTCTTTAGGCCCTCCTTCAATCTCTTCCTCTTACCCTCAGGTCTATACTCGCTATGGGAAGTGTTACACCTTCAATGCGGATCCACAGAGCCCACTGCCTAGCCGGGCAGGGGGCATGGGCAGTGGCCTGGAGATCATGCTGGACATTCAGCAGGAGGAGTACCTGCCTATATGGAGGGAGACGAGTATGCAGGCGGGCAAGGGACGGGGAGGACCTGGGGGCTCAGGCTCAGCCCCTCTGCCTGGGGTGGGTTTTCCCGGATCCACCTCTCCCTTGTGCAGATGAGACCTCATTTGAGGCTGGCATCCGGGTGCAGATTCACAGCCAGGAGGAGCCACCCTACATCCACCAGCTGGGCTTCGGCGTGTCCCCAGGCTTCCAGACCTTTGTGTCCTGCCAGGAACAGCGGGTAGGCAGCTCCCACTTTGCCCTGGGCTGGGTGCGACCAGACCTGACCTCTGGAAGCCCACAGCCCACAGCCCACCAGATCACCCACTGACTCTGCTGAGGCTGTGGGTACTGGAGGGCCGGGAGACGCCTGGGCATGACCCCATCCTGCCCTGCCTCTGCAGCTGACCTATCTGCCCCAGCCCTGGGGCAACTGCCGGGCTGAGAGTGAGCTCTGGGAGCCCGAGCTTCAGGGCTATTCGGCCTACAGTGTGTCTGCCTGCCGCCTGCGCTGTGAAAAGGAGGCCGTGTTGCAACGCTGTCACTGTCGGATGGTGCACATGCCAGGTGGGCACCCTTTCCCAGCCAGCTATCTGGGCGCCGGCCAGACAAAGAACCTTGGGGAGAGCACTGCTCATGTGTTCACACAGGTGCATGTGTACAAGCACATGTATTTGTGTGTATTCATATGTGTGCATGCTGACGTGTTTGGAATTCTATGCATGTTTCACATATGCATATAGGAATGAGCACGTGCATGTGTTTGTGTGCACGCTAATACACATTTCTGCACATGTACACTGTGCACTTACATGTTTGTGTATGTTGAGGTCACGTGCATGTGCTTGGACATGCATCTACAAATGTGTGCACGTATGCATGTGCATGCAAGTGGGCACGTGTTGCATGATGCATGTGTATGTTCTGCTTACACACATGAATGTGTATAAGTTTATTTGGGCATTTGTGTATGCGCTTTCACATATGGGTGTGTGGCTGGAGAGGGGGGAAGGGACCATAGACTCCAGGAATCATCTTGTCTCCTTTCAGGCAATGAGACCATCTGCCCGCCCAATATCTACATTGAGTGTGCTGACCATACACTGGGTCCGTGCAGCCTGCCCCCACCCCTCCCTGTCCATCAGCCACCTCTTTCTCTCTGTGTCCACCTTCTCCTCACCAGCTTGGCTCCTCTCCTCACAATCTCCCATGGAAGGTTCTTCCTGGGGGGAGAGCCAATATCATAGCTCAGGGGGTCTGAGGACCTGGGTCTCTGCAGGTGCGGACACTTGGGTAAGTGGAGGCAGCAGGGGGTGGGGCAGCAACCCAGGCCAGGTAGTGAAGGGCTTGGCTTCTCATCTTGGTTCTGCAAATGAACTTGCTCTCGCTGGGAAAATGCAATCTCTTGGCCTCAAGAAAAATGCAGTGCTGGCTCTCCATGTGGGTAAGGCAAACCCCTCCGTCCACAGACCTCGCCTGATCTGCCATCCATCCATCCACCCACCCACCCACCCACACATCCAACCATCTAGCCATCCACCCGTCCATTCTTCTATGCATCCACCCAATCTTCCTGTTCAAGCCTCCTTGTTTGTCTGAGGTCTCATGGGTTGGCTCTGGTGGATGGGCTCTGACCTCTCTCAGCCATGAGGGCCTCCCTGTCCCAGGGGGCTGGAAGGGCAGAATAAACCCACCGGAGGGTTCTGGGGTGGGGGGGTCTGCCTACACCTGCTTTCTAGGGTAGTCTAAAGCTGGTCCAAGAAGGGTCCCAGCCAGCCTCTCTAGGCAGTACCAGGGCTGGCCAGTAAAGGCCCTCAAGTAGCCCTCCCCTCTGTAGCTAGGTGGCCTGGACCCTTCCCTCCCCCTACTACGTTGGTGCCTCTGTGTTGCAGACTCCCTGGGTGGGGGCTCCGAGGGCCCATGTTTCTGCCCTACCCCCTGCAACCTGACTCGTTACGGGAAAGAAATCTCCATGGTCAAGATCCCCAACAGAGGCTCAGCACGGTACCTGGCAAGGAAGTACAACCGCAACGAAACCTATATACGGTACGTGTGCATGTGTGTGTGCACATGTGTGCATGTATATGTGAATGTGCACCCAGGACCGCCTCCTCTCACAGCTTCTGGGAGTCTGAGGGGTGGTCACTAGCTTCCCGGCACAGCAATGTCTCAGGATCTGCCAGACTTGGAATGCCCGTCATACCCTGCTTCCGGTCTCCACAGGGAGAACTTCCTGGTCCTAGATGTCTTTTTCGAAGCCCTGACCTCTGAGGCCATGGAGCAGCGAGCAGCCTACGGGCTGTCAGCCCTGCTGGGTGAGATCTGTCCCTGCCCCTGACTGCCTTGGAGGTGGGCCAGCCCAGCCTCCTCCCTCTGATCCTGCTTTCCTGCTCCCAGGTGACCTCGGGGGACAGATGGGCCTCTTCATTGGGGCCAGCATCCTCACACTGCTGGAGATCCTTGACTACATCTACGAGGCAAGGATGAGATGCCTGGTGGGGGTCACACAGCTGGGGGGTTGGGTAGTGAGGAGGGCTGTGGGAAAAGGACAGGCTTCCTGGGCTGAGCTGGTCTGGCTGGGAAGTCAAGCTCAGGTTCTTTGCCAGGGTTCCCGGACTGGCTGGAAGACCTGGGCCCATTTCCCTCCTGTGCCAAGGCACTGAAGAGTCAGGAAAGGATGGAAGGATGGGGGAGGTGGGCATCTGCTGGGGCAGCAAGTCCTCTAAGGTGGGCCTGGGAACGCCCTCCCTTCTCTACAAAATTTCCCGAGCCCCTTGCCATCCCCCACCCTGAACCCCAAGGTGTCCTGGGACCGAATAAAGCGGGTGTGGCGTCGTCCCAAGACACCCCTGAGGACCTCCACTGGGGGCATCTCCACCTTGGGGCTGCAGGAGCTGAAGGAGCAGGTGAGGAGGAACTCCTGGGATTGCATCCTGCACCCCCTCCCTGGGATGTTGTTGTTATGTTGTTATTTGCCGTCGAGTTGGCCCCGACTCATAGCGACCCCTCCTTGGGTTTCTGAGGCAGTATCACTACGGAAGTAGGATTGCCCAACCTTCCTTCCGAGGAGTGGCTGGTGGGTTTGAACCGCCAGCCTTCGGGTTAGCAGTCAAGTGCCTTAGGCACTATGCTATAGTATATCCTTATTCTCCCCAGGATGGAATCCTCCCACCCCCACATCAGAACCAGCCTGCTGGCGTCCCAGCTCTCCCGGGCCATGGCAGGCTGGCTGAGCGAGGCTGGGGAGTGCCTCTTGAGCTCTCTGTCCCGTTTTCTCTTGGCCTTGCAGAGTCCCTGCCCAAGCCGAGGAGGCCGCGCTGAGGGTGGGGGAGCCAGCAGCCTGCTCCCCAATCACCACCATCCCCATGGCCCTCCCGGAGGCCTCTTTGAAGACTTTGCTTGCTAGGATGGTGCTATTCTGAAAGGACCCAGGAATCTGGGATCCCTCCCCAGACCCCCAACATCTTCCCTTGCTCCTGGGACCTGGAAGGCCTGGGGGCAGTCCAAGGCTGCGAGGGGGAAGGGAGGCGCCCACTGGGAGGGTGGGGACTCAGTTCCTGCTCTCACCTGCTCCTGGCCCCAGCTACTTTGCACAAAGATTCTCCTTGTCTGCACCTCCCTCCCCCAGGCTGGTGCCCCAGGGAGGGCTGGAGATCAGGCCTTGGGCCCCCATGGAGAGGGTGGGAGGAAAGGAAAGGGAAGTGGAGGAAGGAGCCCATGCAGCAGGAGTGGGACCCTCTGTACATTTGTATATATTTAGGGAGGGTAGGGTGGGGGTGGGTACAGACCTAGAAGGCTGGGTAGGGGCTGCAGAGAGTGACTCAGTCAGTCAGGGTCCCAACCTGAGTGTCAGCAGGAAGTGTGAGCCCCCGGGCTCAGGACTGCTGAGCCACCATTTCCTGCCCCTCTCTGGGCCAGCTCCCCTCTTGGCAGGGGGAGTGGGTGGCCCAGCAGGCCTGGCCCAGCTCCCAGATCCCCCTGCACCCCCCTTCCATCCCCCCCCAAGGGCAGGAGATCTCTGAGACCCCGGCTGAGCTTGTGGGGTGGTCAAAGAGTCTTCCTGGGCCTCCCTCCCTCCTGTCTGGTTTTATAAAATGCTGACAAAACTGGGAATAAAGAGGCATAAAGAATTGTGTGTGTGTGTGACCTAGCACATGCTAGGGCAGGGCTGGGCTGAGCATCCACATGATGCCCTGGTAAGAAATCCAAGCCCAGCAGGGACAAGGGAGCCTCTGTCGTCACCCGCCCCCTCCCAGGCCAAAGCCCAAACCACACCTGTCACCATCGAGTCAATTCTGACTCCTGGCACATCTGCCACAGAGAACTGCTCCACAGTTTTCCCGGCTGTGACCTTTAAGGAAGCACAGAGCCAGGCTTTCTTCCCAAGTGCCCGAGCGGGTTTGAACCACCACCATTTATGTTAGTAGGTGAGCGCACACCGTTTGTGCCGCCGAGGGTCCTATCCCACCCCCACCCCCCACCTACCTTCCAGAAACTCAATCACTAGGCTACACTCAGCCAGTTTATTCAAGGCAGGGAGCTTCGCCAGGGGTCCAGAAGGGAGAAGCTGGGAGACGCCCCCACCCTTCTCTTTCACCTCCCCCTTTCCCGACAATTCATCTGCAGCCCGGCCCCTGGGGCTGACCCAGGAGGTGGACTGGCGTCAGGTAGACTGAACTGTGTAAGTACGGAGGCCAAGGCCCAAATCAGCAGCGTCAAGAGGGTGGGGAGATTGGTCGGGCCGGGAATGGGTGGCTTGGAGGGCTCCTCCCCCAGGGCCTGTCCTGAGCCCAGGGAACCCACTAAGCCAGAGAGAGGGGGCCAGTGGACAGCCCTATGCGGCGAGGCTGGCAAGGGGCTCCAGGTTGGGGGGTAGGAGCGGGGTGGGTGTGGCTGTGCCAGGGCCCAGGGACTGGCGGGGTCAGGTGCTGTTGCCCTGCTCCTGCTCGAAAAGCAGCACGGCGAGCTGGGTGCGGGAGCCGAGGCCCTCGAGTGCGCTCTGGCGGCAGCGGTGGTACAGGTCCTCGCTGAGCCGCGCGCTGCACGGCTGGGCCCGGTAGCGCTGTAGCAGGGCTGGTTCCACCGCCCGCAGCACGTGCAGGCCCGAGAAGCGCAGAAACAGCTCATACACGTCCAGGCTCTCCAGCAGCTCCTCCTCCTGCTCTGTGGCTGCTGCTAGCCGCCCGCGGGCTGCCACATAATCAGAGTTATAGAAGCAGGCCTCGCTGGCCGCCTGGCGGTCGAAGCGGCCTGTGTCACGGCCCAGCTCCGGTGGTCCAGGGCCCTGCGGTGGAGCCACGGCCGGGTGGAAGGCCTGGAAGTGCATGGGAAAGAAGGCCTGCCAGCCAGAGATGGCATGCATGCGGCAGCGGTTCAGAAAGTCAGGTGTGAGCACCGTGTCTGGCCCGGCCAGCAGGAACAGTGTGTCCAGCGGGTGCTTCTTGGACAGCAAGTCCATGAGGCGCAGGGGTGCAGGGGCTGCTGTCTGCACACTGAGCCAGGGCACCCGCGCCCCAGGGAAACGCCGCTCCAGCTCTGTTACGTGGGCTTTGACAGGTGCGAAGACATCTGCGTGGGCTGCCCGCTGGGCCTGGCGGGGCTCGTACAGCAGCAGCAGCGTCAGGGCTGCTGCTGCATCACCAGGCTCCAGTGCTGCGGTGGCAAAAGCCTCCAGGAAGCCAGGGGCCAGGTCACGCTCAGCTGCGGTCAGAGGCAGCAGAACAGTGAGACGAGAGGCCTCGGTGACATAGGGCACAGGGAGGATCTCCACACGGCTCAGTGGCCGGAGCAGCTGCACCCGGTGAGTGAGGGGCAAGCGGCCACCCTGGGGGGTCAGTGCCTCTAGCTGCAGGTCCAGCGTGTACTCCATGCCCCGGGCGGGATCAAAGCGGCGATAACCATTAACAAGCTGCTGCTTCTGGAGCCGCAGGGCAGGATGGTAGCGGCGGTTGAGCTCCTCCAGGGCTGCCCCAAGGACGTCGGCCACGTCAGCTCGGTCAGCCCCACGCAGCGGGCAGCGGGGCGAGCCATCAGTGCAGGAGAAAGCATGCTGCTCCGTGAAGTATTCCCAGCGCAGGACCTCAAAGCGGGAGGCAGGCCGAGAGGGGGCTGGAATGCCCACGGGCCAGGCAGCTGCCCGCTCGCCATCGGCAGCTAGGCGGCTGGTATTCTGGATCTCCCACTGGGTTGGAGGAATGAGTATAAGAAAGGGAGAGGCCACAAGGGCCAGCCCATAGTCGGGGGACTGGGCAGGCAGCAGGTGCCAAACAGGATGGCTCCTTGCCTCCTGTCAACCTCTGCCCTCTCAGGCCTTCCCCGGATGGAGGCAGCCTAAGAGTTAAAAGGAGGGTAGTTCTGGAGGGTGGAAACAGATAGGGGTTGGGAGGCAGGTCTGCTCTGGGATTTGGGAGCTAACTTTCTATCTCCCTGGAGTCTGAGACCTCTCAGACCCTGCCTGACCCCAGCCCAGACCATACCTGCAGCTCCTGGATCTCCTGGTATGTGCGTTCCAGCTCAGCTCGAGCAAAAGCCTTGTGCAGCTGGTACATGTGTACAGGGTCACGCACAGGGTGGGCTGTCAGGGTGCTGCGGAAACGAGGATCCCCCTCCTGCACTGGCTCCCCAGGGCTCAGCTCCAGACAGCTATAGTGTACCCCCTGGGGAGAGAAGGGAAGGATCCATAAAGGGAAGAATGACAGGACATGCTTTCTTCCTGCCTCACAGTCAGCGTCTCATCTCCCTGACCTCCTGTGGACGAGGAGTCAGAATTCAGTAGGATTAGGTCCACTTTGATCCACTGTCAGCTTGTGTGACCTTCAGCAGGCCTCTGCTAGCTCATCTGTGAAACAGGCACGCCTACTCCTGTCCTATCTCACAGAACTCTCCAGGAGCTTAAATAAAATAATAGCTAACACTGACATCTATTAAGGAGCTCTGGTGGTGCAGTGGTTAAGGCATTTGGCTGCTAACCAAAAGCTCAGTGGTTTGAACCCACCAGCCACTCCACAGATGAAAGATGAGTCAGTCTGTTTCTGTACAGATTCACAGCCTTGGAAACCCTATGGGGGTCGCTATGAGTTGGCATCAACTTGACGGCAGGAAGTTTGGTTTTTTTGCTTTTGACATCTATTATGTTGTTACTATGTGCTGTCTAGTCGCTTTGGACGCATAGCGACCCGCACAACAGACTAGAACTGCCCCATATGGTTTTTTAGGCCAGGTCTTTTCTCCCACAGAGCCACAGAGTCAGTCTGAATCGCGAACCTTCCTGTCAGCAGCTGAGCGCTTGACCATGGTACTACCAGGGCTCCTTGATAAGGCCTCCTTATTTTCTCTAATCCTTATAACAACTCCAAGCAATGATTAATTCCACTGACATGGACGAAGATACTGAAGTTCAGGAGATTTAATCACTGACCTATAGTCACGGGGATAGGAAATGTGACAGAACCAGCACAGAAATCCAGGCCTGTTATCTCCCCCACCCCCTGCTTCTCAGGGGGAAATACAGAAGCTCAGTTAGAAGGCACCAGTGGGGTGGTTCATCTTCCCACCTCGTGGTCTCCAGTGCAGCCCACGCCGGTGGCGTCCAGGATGCAGCGTCCCAGCCACTCGTCAGGGTGCGAACTGACAATGTCGTTACGACAGCCTTCCAGGTGGGGGCGCAGCTGCTGCAGCAGTGTGCGAGACAGCAGCACTCCAAAGCCGCCGTGGCAGTAGCGGCCTGGGGCAGGTTCCCCACTGATGAAGTCTTGGGGCCGGCCCAGATAGAGGTGAGCAGAGGAGGCCAGGCTGAGGCGGCCAGCTAGGCGCGCCAGTCCGTGAGCCTCCGTGTAGGTGGTGTCGGGCACTAGAAAGAACCAGTCAAAGTCGTCGCCGTGCTGATCCAGCAGGTGGCGGAGCGCCAGATGTAGGTGCCCAATGGGCCGCTCCTCACCCAGTGTCACCACCGCCATGCCTGGTGGGGCCCGGCGGCCCCGAGCACCAGTCAAGAACACCACACGCTCTAGCCGGTGCCCCAGTGTGCGGTTCACAGCCACGCCCAGCGTGGGCAATGTGGCCTGTGAGGTCAGCACTGCTACGAGCAGTCTCTGCCTGATGCCCAGCTCTGTGCTGATGTAGCGGGTCCTAGGAGAGGAGACAGCACAAGGTTATGAAAAGACAACAGGGCACACGGGTTCTGGCCTGGAGCAAATTATGTCATCTCTGTGCCTGTTTCCTTACCTATGAATAAGGTCATAGGATTTAAAGTAAATATTAGCCTTAGCTACACAATGATTGCATTTGAGGTATACAAATTTTCTTGCAAATATGAGACCTACGATGTGGGTTTCAGTCTTGGTTTCACTACTTAGTAGTTATGGATCTTTGAGCAAGTTATTTCTCTCATCTGAGGTGCAGTAGCCTGATTGTAAAATGAGGATGACTGTGTCTATTTAAAGCATGTAGCCAAATTCTTGGTGGCTTAATACCTATGCTATATACTATGTATATAAAACCAAAACCCACTGCCATTGAGTCCATCCTGGTCATCTCTACATAAACAGGTTATTATGCCAGAAATGTACCACGTCAATGACGTAAAGGAACATACAGCACTGAATGTGTTTGGGGAAGGGGCTGTCTGGGGTTCACCCGTTCCAATAATTTACCTGCTGTAAAGCAGAATGTAAACTACAGAACTGGAATTTGAACACAGTGTCAGGCGAAATTATTTAAACTCATCAGGCAAAGCATTAATGGGATGAGTTCCACCTCCCTTCCAGGTGGCTCTTGTAACCTACCCAGGGACAAGAGCTATAGATAAATCCTAGGTTTTTCTGTCTCTTTACATCTTCCTTATATACCATTTCTCCAGCCTCAAAAACCAGCCAGGGAGCTAAGAAGATCTTTGGGGGACCATGAGGTCCAGCAGATTTAGGACAGAAGCGGACAATTTCAGCCCAGTCCGGGACAGGGCCTAGACAGGGTCTCTGACGGGTCTCACTGCTCTCGGGGAAGCAGGGCATCGGAAGTTATCAAAGCCCAAAGACTTCCTGGCCGGCCAGCCCCTTCCTTCCGGAGCCTGACCCGGCCCCTAGCAGCCTCCCAGGCGCGCGCGCCCCGGCCAGTGACCAGGGGGCGGGACCGACCCCTACCTGACGGCCTTTTTGGCAGACTGGCCAGGCTGCGCAGGATGATAGGGCAAGACACGCGGCTCCCAGTTTTCCGCGGTTCCTCCGCCAGCCCCAGGCCTCTCGCGCTCCGCTCCAGGTTGCACAGAGTTGGGCCGGCGCGCCGCGTTGGTGTTGCCGCGCGGTGGCAGATCAGAGTCTCCGGGCTGGGGCGGCCCTGGGCCGCACGGCTCCTCCACCCAAGTGACGCTGAGCAGGCTCAGAGTGAAGCCCAGGGAGATGCCCACGGCCACGGGCCCCGCGGGCCGCAGCACGGACAGCAGCAGCGACGCCCGCATGGCGCACGGACCGCGGGCCCTCGGCCCCGGCACAGCCCCAGAGCAGCTCCTAAGAGGCTCTGAGGGGGCGGGACCGGGGAGGGGGCGGATCCGGGGGACCCGGGCCCAGCGGGCGGGCCCGCTCCCTCCCCGCGGAGAAGAGCCCGCGGCCCAAGCAGGATACCGCTCGCCGCGCTCCGAACCCCCTCCAGCGGCCGCCCTGTGCCGCCGCGATACTTGCGCAGGGCGCCGGAGCCTCCGTCGCAGCCGCCGCGGTCCGACGTGTCACTGCCCAAACCCCGCCCTCAGGGTGGGGTCTCGGACTCTAGCTACCCCGGAGGGAGGAGAAAGGGAGGTTAAAGGGAAAGGACCCCCGGAAGTGCCCCCTCCTCAGTGCGCGAGAGGGAGACGTCGGGGGCGGAGCTCCCGGCCTCTCCCTGCGTGGTTGGTGCGTCCCTGGTGACATCAGAAGCAGCCCGCCCCTGCCTGGATGGTGCGCTCTGAGTGACGTCAGCAGCTGAGGCCGGAGCTGTCCATCAGCACCAAAGGCCGCGGGCGGGCTCAGGGCATGGGGCCGCGGTTCTGGGGCGGCCCGAGCCCCTGCTCCTGCTCCTTTCCTTTCCCCAGGAGCCTGAGTCCCCGGACGCCGCGGCACTGGAGTGCCACCCGGTGTTGGAGGCGGAGCAGCGACGCCGCCGCGCAGAGGCCGGTCCCTCTGGCACAGCAGCTTCCGTCCCCGCACGGTGGACTTTTTTCGGACCCCAGTCAATCGGGGCCTTTGGGGCCCCGCATCCTCGGATCCTCTGGCCACGGCGCCGCCTCTTCAGCTCAGAAGCTCAGGTCCTCCAGCCCAGGTAGATCTTGGACATTCCCAGACCTGGCCGCCCACGAGGCTGCCAGCTGCCTCCTCCTCACTGGCTGAAGTGCCCTCATCTCCCCTACTCCCAGTCTCCCTTTTAACTTCTCCACCAGCCCTCTCTAGCCCGGCACTTCTGTTAACCTTGTCTTTTGCCTTCGCTCCAGGGATGCTTCCAGAGCTGCACGATGTAGGAACCTTTCCTTTGTCCACGATGCCCTCGCCTAGTTCTCCCACTCCCACTCCTATCCTCACACCAGTGGGAACTCAAGACTCCTCCTTGACCCCAACTTCCTCTTTGTCAGGCTGACCTGGGAGGGTAACACCTCTCCATTCCCAGCACTATGCCAGGCACTGTGGCGACGCTGCGGTTCCAGCTGCTGCCCCCTGAGCCAGATGACGCCTTCTGGGGGGCACCCTGTGAACAGCCTCTGGAGCGCAGGTACCAGGCGCTCCCGGCCCTCGTCTGCATCATGTGCTGTCTGTTTGGAGTCATCTACTGCTTCTTTGGTGAGATCCCCATCTCATTCCTCATCTGGGCTCCCCACTGTTTCCCTGAGTTCTTTTTCTGGGGCACCCCAATTTTCTCTGGAACCACCACCACCATGAATAACTATCCTTCTCTTCCTTTCATCCCACACATGTTTATAGATCAGATAGACTATAGATTCTAGAGAATACAGGTTTTCTAATTAAACATGATTGAGTTTGAACCTGGCTCTGCACTTTACTAATTGTGATGCCTTGAGCATGCTAACCTCAATTTTCTGAGCCTGTTTTCTCATCTGAACTGCAGGAACAATGATATTTGTGTCACATTAGGCTGTTGTGCAAATTAGCAGGCACTCAATAAATTGCAGCTACAGAAGAGGAGATAATAGTGTTTGGGTCACTGCATTAGGTAGGCACTGAAAACATTTAGCACAGTGAATAAACATGGTCCCTTACCACAGAGTTTATTGTCTGATAATGAGAAAGACTCCTGGAACATTCATACCTGTGATACATATTAGAGTGGGCTGGATAGGGGCTGGATGGCAGTTAACATATATAAAGTTTGCCTACAAGGCAGGCTCCAGTAATCAGGGCTTTTGGGGACAGTTGTACAGAATGCATACTGCTCGAAGCTCAATTGAATAGGCAAGTGGGGGCTGAAATCCAGCCCAAGCTCCACTTGCCAAACTCTGAGCCTTAGCACAGGGCTTCTTTGGCATAAAGGGAGGCACACCTTTTTCATGTTTGCACAGTGGTGCCATATGGGCTAGAGGGAGCTTGGAGTAAGTACCTGGTGATTCTACAATAGAGGAGTAAGCTCTATGGGCCAAGCAAAAAACCAAACCCACTGCTTTTGAGTTGATTCTGACTCATAGTGAATCTATGGGCTAGGGACCCAAGTAAAGCCTCCAAAGGAAGATTATGGGCTACTAGAAGCACTGGGGGCAAAGGAGGGAAGGAGATTTGGGTTTCAGTCTGGGCAGAGGTGGGGAGAAACTTTTGTCCCGCAGCTCCACATCACCACCCCCTTGAATGCCTGAGTAGACACCAGTGGGAGCCACATGATCCTTCCCTTTCCACCCCCAAACTCTGGGCTGAACAACTGCAAAGTGGGCAGGAGGAAGTGCCTGCCCAAGGATTTGGAACACATTTGGGGCCTCCACGTTGTCTGTATCCCCTCACCCCTTCCACTGTCTTTACCTACTCCCTCTGCATGGTGCTCAGTACAGCCCCATTTTCCCTTGCTCGGGCTGCCCTGCCACCTACCCCTCTTGGATGCCTCCACTTCCATACTCTTGGACTCTGAACCCTCATCCATGTCCCATTCTTTCTCTGATCCCAGAACCTTCTGGAGTCTGATACTTTCCCTCATTTCTGGAACTGAATTTCATCTTTATGACCTTTCTCTTTGGCTCTCCCTGACCCCTTGGTCCTTATCTCTGACTTCCATCTTCCCAGCTGCTCAGGATCATTTTCATCACCTTTCCAGGTACCCTATTAGTCCCATAACTTCCATTTTTCTGAAACTTCACAACCAGCCATTTCCTCTATAATCCTTTAACTCCCTATGACTCCTTGTAAAACCTAGTGACCTCCACCACCCCCTATGACTCCTTGTAAAACCTAGTGACCTCCACCACCACCCCACTTATCTCATTACCTTCCATCTCTCTGGCCCCTCTATTAGTCTTACCTCCAATCCCTGGTTACTCCTAGCTCTCTCATCCCTATGACTGACTGACTGCCCCTCTCCTGCCATGATCTCCAGTATTCCCAATTCTCTGACTTCAATTAATGTTCCCCTCTCAGAAACCATTTGATACTTTCAATGATTTCACCTCTGTCAATCCTCTGACCTGCAAAGATGTCATCTTCAAGAACCCTCCCCAATAACCTTGCTTCTATGTTCTCCAATGATCCCATCTCTCTGAACCTGTGACCCTTCAAAGATCTCATCTTTCTGAACCCATGTGACCCCATGTCTTTAGTTCTTTTTGATTTCCAAATATTTTCTTTCTGAACACTCCCCCCCAAAGATCCTAATGACTGTTGCTGATAGTCTTGTGACCCCAATGACTGACCCCTATGATCCCAAAGATCCCGATGATTCTTTCCCCATTCACTCTTGACTTCAGTGATTTATCTTTGATGCTTCTGACCCTCAAAGACCCGAATCCTTTTATCTCAATGACTCTGTCTGTTTTCCTAGGGACTCCCAATGACCTTACTTCTCTGGCCTCATCTAAACTCAGTGGCCCTATTATCAGTGCCCCCATTGCTCCAATGACCCCCCAACTTTCTGATCTTAGTGTTCTTGTCTCTGATTCCTCTGTGACCCCATGTCGCTGACCTCTCTTACCTCCTCCCTTCAGCCTGGTAACCTCATTCTAGTCCCTCACTAGTCCCTGTTCCCCTCCAGGTTACCGCTGCTTCAAGGCAGTGCTCTTCCTCACGGGGTTGCTGTTTGGCTCAGTGGTCATCTTCCTGTTGTGCTACCGGGAGCGGGTGCTGGAGACACAGCTGAGTGCTGGGGCGAGCGCAGGCATCGCGCTGGGCATCGGGCTGCTCTGCGGGCTGGTGGCCATGCTGGTGCGCAGTGTAGGCCTCTTCCTGGTGGGGCTGCTGCTCGGCCTGCTGCTCGCCGCTGCCGCCCTGCTGGGCTCTGCACCCTACTACCAGCCAGGCTCTGTGTGGGGCCCACTGGGGCTGCTGCTGGGAGGCGGCCTGCTCTGTGCCCTGCTCACACTACGCTGGCCACGCCCTCTCACCACTCTGGCCACTGCTGTGACTGGTGCTGCACTCATTGCCACCGCCGCCGACTACTTTGCCGAGCTGCTGTTGCTGGGGCGATACGCAGTGGAGCGGCTACGGGCTGCCCCTGTACCCCCACTCTGCTGGCGGAGCTGGGCCTTGCTGGCACTCTGGCCCCTGCTCAGCCTGATGGGTGTCCTGGTGCAGTGGCGGGTGACAGCTGAGAAGGACTCCCACACAGAAGGTGAGGGCACAGGCCAAGGTGGGCATGAAAGGAATGGGTGGCCACGGATGGGTGGGGGACTAAGCCATTGGGGAGTGGGGGACAGAGGCCTCATTGAGGTTACATAGCTGACTCACTCAGGGCCTGGGAGGCTAGCACTGCAATGCATGGACCTCTGGCTCTGGGCTGACCCCATCTCAGGCACTGGGAATACAACATAGAAACCAGACAAGTACCTGCCCCTGTGGGTTAACATTTGGGGAGGGAGGAGACAGACAATAACCATGTCAAGAAACAAGATAATTCCAACTGTGTGGGGTGGCATGAAAGAGAGGGACAGAAACAATGAGTGACCTATTATAGATTGGATGGTCAAGGAAGGCCAAGGAGGAGGTGACATTTAAGCAGAGACCTGAAGGATGAGGAGCCAGCCATGCAAAGAGAAGAGGGAACAGCAAGGGAGAGGGCCCTGAGAAGGAAATGGGCTTGGCTTGCTTGACTGGACTGTAGTGTGCGAGGGACAGGAACTGGGCCAATCGTCTGGTCCCTCTGGGCCATGATGAAGACTCTGGGTTGTGTTAGAAGGGTGATGGAAGACCATTGGAAGGTGTAAAGTGGGGAACAGGATTGAATTTAGCATTTGAGATGTTCACTCTAGCTGCCGAGTGTAAAAAATACTGGAGACAGATAAGCATAGAAGGGGGAAACCAGTTAGGAAGCAGCTGTGGGTCATCACTTGAGTGATGATGGTGGCTGACCCAGGTGAATCATCTATGGCTAAGGCCTGGAAGAGGGTAACAGCCAGGGAAGGGATGCTGAAGTCCAGAGATCTTTCCATAAAGGCCATCCAAAGACAGAGCCAGTGCAAGGGGTCCTATCTGGGAGGTGGGAGACCAGGAAAAGGGGTGGGGCATGGAAAAGGGGAATCTGGAAGCCTGGGGAAGATGAGGCCCATAGGCCTCTGAGACCCCCACTCCGCCCATCCCCTCAAAGTGGTCATCAGCCGGCAGCGACGACGTGTGCAGCTGATGAGGATTCGGCAACAGGAAGAGCGCAAGGAGAAGCGGCGGAAGAAGAGACCCCCGCGGGCCCCCGCAAGAGGCCCCCGGGCTCCTCCAAGGCCTGGCCCTCCCGACCCTGCTTATCGGCGCAGACCAGTACCCATCAAACGCTTTAATGGAGATGTCCTCTCCCCGGTGAGCGCCCCAGCCTCTCCAGCCCCAACGGGGGAAAGGGACCGGCTGGGCTCTGTCCCAGCAGGGTTGGCTGGTCATTGTCTAGAAGCAGCCTAGTGTTTGTGCACTTGTCATCACCCCTATACCAGGAGCCTGGTGGGTCAGCTCAGGGACTAGGGGAGAGATGTTCCCAAGTATGAGTTTAAATGGGGTATGGCGTGGGGTCTCGGGGATGTGGCTTACGGGTGTGGTGAGGTCCTAGGTCTCTGGCTGTCTAGGGTGAGTCTCAGGCTTGTGGGGGTGCAGGGGAAGGCTGTCTGCCTGTTGGCTGTCGGAGCAGGGTGTGCAGTGGGACTCTCACACCTGTGTTTACTTCCCCACAGAGTTACATCCAGAGCTTCCGGGACCGGCAGACAGGCAGCTCACTGAGCTCCTTCATGGCCTCGCCCACTGATGCAGACTATGACTATGGGTCCCAGGGGCTGCTGACGACATGCTCAGGGCCCCCTGTGCGAGTATAGCAGGAGAGACGCTTCGCACGCTTAGACTCTTCGGTCACCAGCTCTGCCCGAATGGCCCTGTGGCCCTTGGCTATCCCTCTCCCTAGCCTGGAGGACTGGCTTAGCTTCAAGAAGGAAGACTAGTAGTCTCAGGCGAGGCCTGGCCTGAGGGCAGCCTCCGAGGGATGTGGGGTGTGAGGCCCATTGGGGTGTGCTCAGGGTTGTGAGTGTGTCGCCTGTGTGTGTGTGCAGGGGGTGGGCTTGGAGGGGACACTGGACCCTTGCCTTAGATTTCTGATTGGTAGGGCTTCTCCAAGGTTGGCCTGCCTCCTTGCCTCCTGCTGGGGGCCACAGGCCACCCTCCTGCATGTCTGTGTGAAGGGGGCCTGCCTTCCCTGACCCATCTCCCTCCTCTCAACCAGACTCTCCATCTAAGGGTTCTCATCCTTGTCCATGGGGCAAACAACAGCACCCCTCACCTGGGTCTCCTGTCTTCTGCAAAGCCACTAGCCCCAGAGAGCATTGGGAGGGGATGGGGGTGAGGGGTGCTGGGCTGGGGAGGGTTCAAGTGCACGATGCATGTCTGGTGTCTGTCATGCCACCTTAGACACCTCATGCTTCTATCTCCTCCTGCCCACCCTCTTTTACATCTTTTATAAATGTGCCAAACTGTGTGGCCTCTGCCAGGAGTGGTGGTCTTCAGTGGCTGGCAGTGCTATGAGCCAAACTGTGAGCACAGCAGCCCTTGGTCCCCATGTACCAAATGCAGAGGAGCTCTGGAGAGGGTCTGCCTTCCAACGTCACACAGAGAGGCAGGCAAAGAAGCTGTACCATGTTTATTGTCTCTGACAACTTTGGCTCTCCAGCCCCCCAGCCCCACCAGGGGTAAGGGCCTCTCCTTCCAAACTGTCTGAGGTACTGCCTGGCTGGCTTCGGTCTTCCTGGCTCCCTGCAGAGGCATGACTGCACGTGGGGCACAGAATAACGCCCCTTTCCTCTCCCCTGGAAGAGCTTGGTTACCCACACGGGAAGAGCTGCCCCCTACCCTTTCTGGGCTTGAGGTTTTTGTAGGGGCCAGGAGGTGGGGGTGAGGTGAGGTGGGACAAGGCCCAGCCTCTGGACAGATGTGCAGTGGAGGGTGGGGAATATTCTGTGTAAGAGGAAAGATGTAGGACTAGATCAGGAACCTCTGTCTAGTCTGGTGTGGGCCTTGCAGAGAGAGCAGAAGTCAGCTGGGCAGAGAGCAGGAGGGAGGGGTGGGCAGGTGAGGTGCACAGGCCAGCCAGGATAGTGGGAAGGAAGAGAACTGGGGCAGAGATGGTGTGTGTGCGCCGCACAGGTTGTAGGAGAGACCAAAAGTGGAAGTAGAAGGGAGTGAGGAGAGGCCAGGACAGGGAGCAGGTAGGAATGTGGGCTTGGCTGTCCTATCGGGGCTCCCTGCTCTCCTCAGTCCCGGGTGGGATCTTCCCCAGCCCTGCCCCAACACGTTCCACAACAGACCTGCGTCCCAAATCCTGCAAAGCTCCCCTAGATATGTCTCAGCCCACAGGTTACCAGGTGCCCTCCCCTGCCTTCCCAGCAGCCCGCCCATCTGACCTCTACCCAAGGCGGCTCTACTCACCCTCCACCAGCAGCCGAGTGCAGGCACTGTCCTGGCCAGCCTGGCAGCAGTAGGTGCCCTGGTCCTCGGGTCGCACGTCATGGATGACCAGACTGTGGGTGGGGCCGTGGCTGCGCAGCTCATACTTGTCTCCCGGGCACAGCTCAACCCCCTCCCGCAGCCAGCACACGTGGTCCCCCGAGCGGGACACAGTCACCTCCAGCACCGCCCGGCGGCCGACCAGAACCGTCTTTTCGCGAGGTGGCCGGCGGTACATCTGGAGGGGCAGCGCTGGGGTGGGAGAGGCGAGGCTTAAGTTAATAGGACACGCAGGACCCCAGGGAGGAGAGACGCAACTTCCCTCCGTGCGACCTCCACTTCTGGCCGCAAGCTTCTATGCTACCGGTCCGTTCCTCCGTACCTGAGCCCCAAATCTTTCCCTTCCCATCTCCGCCCCTGGAAGCGCGCTGCCTCCCTCCCCTCGGCGACCTGCCCTCGAGGGGAGGAGAGGGAAGCAGCGCACCTAGGACCCGCCGCCAGACGCCGGTCCCAGGGCAGGAGGTGACGGCCACTCTTCGCCGTCCCCGCCCCAGCGGCTTACCCTCCACCTCCAGCTGGGCCGCGGACTGGGCAGGTCCCGCCTGGAAGCAGACTTCTCCAGCGTCCTCGGCGCGCAGCTCGCTCAGCAACAGCATATGTTTCTTCCCTGGGAGTGAATAGGGGCGCAGGCGAGGTCGGAGCCGCCCTGGGGGAGGACTCGGGGACAAGGGCGGGGCCGGAGCAGGCCCCTGGGTCGGCGGGTAAGCGTGCGCACAACTGGGAGGCCGAGGGTGAAGGGGAGCTGTCGGGGGCGGGGATGGGGGGGGGGCAGCAGGCTCAGAGCAGAGCCGGGAGGCGGGGAAGACCAGAGACAAGCTCTTGCACCAGGGGCGGAGCTCATTCGAGCTGGAGGCGGGACTTATCCTAGTGGGGCGGGGTCGACTTGAGCTCTGGACCCGGCAGCGCGGGGCACTAGAGGATGGAAAGGTACCCAGACCTTCCTGTCGGATGCGGATGCGGCCTCCAGGTCTCAGAGGGCGTCCTCCGAGCTGCCAGCGCCCCGTGATCTCTGCCTCCGACACCGTGCACTCGAACGTGGCGCCGTCGCCTTCCCGGGCGCGCACCGACTGAAGCTCGGAGAGGACTGCCACCGCGCGCTCTGGGGCGGAGCGGCGAAGTGAGGAGGGGCGGGGCGAAGGCGCACGCCAGCACGCCCTCGCCCTGCCTCCTCCCGGGAAGCACAGGGGCAGCCCCGGGCTGGGCCAGTGTCGGGCCCCCGCATCGCTCATACCCACCACGCACTGCCAGGCGGGCAGGCCCGGCGCGAGCCGTCCCCACTGTGCAGCTGTAGGTCCCGGCGTCCGAGAGGCCGCAGCGCCGCAGCTGCAGAAGGCGGCGCGCGCCTAGGGCCTGGAGCCGGAGCCGAGAGCTTGGGGCGAGCGCGCGCCCGTCCTAGGGGCGGGATGGCAGAAGGTGGGCGGTAGTGCCCTTTGTTGGTGCCAGACAGCTTCTAAACGCTTTTGTGCTTGTCCTGTGTCCCCCAGGTTGGGGTCAGGCGGGCCAGGGGTTGGGTCTGCCGGCCATGGGCCGTCCTGCGCTTTCAGAGCCGCTCCAGGAGCCTCACTGGGAAGATGTCACCCCTTCAAGGCCAAGAAGGGGGGCCATGGGTCCGAGAAGCCTAGTCTATGTCCCGATGGCACGGGGCGTGAGTTAAGATGCAGGAGTTAGGCAAGCTTGAATTCAAACATGGGTTCTACTCCTGCTGTCTGGCCCTGGGCAAGCAACTTCAGTACATTGGGTCTGTTTCCTCATCCATAACCTGGTGGGAACCAGTGGCGTCACTACGGGAGCGCAGGGGATACGGACTGCAGCCCCTGACACTATCAGAGTTCGGCGGTGGGCGGACTGGCGCTGCGAGGGCAGAGGCCGCCAAGGCCATGGTGTCACTAGTGTTGGTGTCACCCGTCACCCAATGCGGTAATTCCTCACCCTCACCCCCACCCCGTGCCACACCCCAGTTAGAGTCGGGCCACTGAGTCTTCATCCGGGCGTAGGGGAGGGTCTCCGCCTCGGCCAATGGGAGAGAAAAGGAGCTGCGGGGGAGCTGCAGGGGGCGGGGCGAAGCTAGGCCACTCCGCCTACCGCGGTGGCGGTTCGCCCGCGGAACTCGCCCGCGTTGGGGTGCTGACACCAACTCTAATGACCCGCTGGTGATAAAAGACCTACGTCAGATGTTGTAAGGATTACAGAATTAAATGTTACATATACTTAGCACAATGCCAGGCACATCACTCAGTAAGTGTTAGTTCCTGTTTGGGGCGTTATTATTATCATGAGGTAGTAGTATTGTTGTTGTTACTCTGGGCTGGGGCTGGGCTTCTGACCTTCTCCCAGGTGACATCAGCCAAGGCCTGGGAAAGCTCGCACTCGAACGTAGCTGTGTCGCCCTCAGTCACCTCTAGGTCCTGTGGCCCCCACACAATGGTCACTGGGGCCTCTGCAAGTTCGAGAGGGAAGACAGTGCAGAGGGAGCAGAGGTAAGGGCAGGTGGGGACTCAGCTTGCAGAGACAAGGACACACCTGGGCTCAGTGGTGGACACACGTAGACAAGGTGACCAGTGGGGGACATGCTGGGCCAAGTGGTCAAGGAGGATGCTGGCCAGTGGGAGACACAGCAGCATAAAAAAGGTGAAGGGGGCAAAAGTGGCCAACTGAGGTGGTTAGTGCCGGCCATGCTTGGGTTGGAAGGGCATGGAGGAGACTGGGTCAGAGAGGCCAGTGGACCATGGGCAACAGGGGTGGTGGGGGCCACATCTGGCTGGATGGAGCAGGAGACACACTGTCCAGTGGGAGGCACAATGGGTTCAGAGGAACAATGGGGGGACCCTAGAGCGGGTGTGGTCAGTGGGAAACACACTGGCGCTGGGAGCAAAAATGCAAGGAACTGGAGCAGATTTGCTGGTGGAGCCCCTGTAGGCAGGCAGGCAGGCAGTGGACTGCAGGGACTGGTTGGAGGCTACACTCAGGCAGGCAGCAGGCAGAGGGGGCCACAGAGGGCAGGCATGGTCAGTAGGACCATGCTCAGAGCAGTTAATGGGGCTGTGCTCAGGAAGGGAAATAACAGGGCCCACACTGGCACAGGCATGCCCACAGTGGCACGGTTAGTAGATTGCACAGGGACGAGTGATCAGGCAGGGCCATCACTGGGGGCCACCTGGGGCCAAAGGCTCAGGGGAATCCCACTCAGGCAGGGAGGTGAGTAAGCACCACACTGGTACAGGTAAGGTTAGCGGGAGCACATGGGCAGTGGGGTCAGCAGAGCCATGCCAGTCAGCAGGCAGGCAGGCGGGGTTCCAGGGTCACACCTCTCACAGTGAGTCTGGCTGCACAGCGCAGGGAATCCGCAGTGAAGGAGATGCAGCCAGAGTCAGCCAGGCCCAGGCCACTGAGCACCAGACGGTGGCTGTGGCCCTCTATGTGAATGTGGCATTTGGGCCCGGGCTGCAGCCGTACTCCGCCTCGGGCCCACTCCCCAGCCACACCCTCCTGGGATAGCTCCAGCTGGAAGGTGGCACTGCCTCCCTCCATAATGGTTATATCCTCCAGAGGCCGCAGTGCCCTCAGCTGCTTTGCTGGTGTGGGGAGGGGGTAGGGAGAGAGGGAGGATGAGGGCTCCAGCTCAGGGAGGGGGCTGTGGGGGGCTCACCCATCCCTCGGCCCTGCACACACCACCCCCAACATCCAATCTGCTGAAAGGAGTTCAGAACCAGGGTGCAGGAAGAAGGTAGCAGAATATATTGGGGTTAGGAGAAAATAACAAAGGGGTGCAGTGTAGTTAGGGGTTGGGGAGTCTGGTGAGGGGTGCCGTAACACTGGAAGGAGCACAGAACTTGAAACCGGCACACCTGGACTGGACCTTGGTTCTGCCATACCACCTGTATGCTGTGTGACCTTGGCAAACTGCTTGAGCTCTCTGGGTCTTAGTTTCTCCACTTGTACAAGGTGAATGATGTTGAGATATAGATTTATCGTGAAGATTAAATGAATGAAATCCATGAGCAGAAAATATATATCACCACCACCACCAATTTCCCAGGCTCTGTGCGGGCGTTTTCCACACATTATCTCAGTTAATGTTTCTAAAGACTCTTGAGGTAGAGATCAGTTCTTGTTTCAAGTGAAGAGACTGGGGTCAGAGAGGTTAAGTAACTTGCATAAAGTCACACAGCTAATGGGGGCTTGGAGGACAAGGGGTGCTATTTGCCGGCCATCCCTGCTCCTCAAATGGGCACGTCAGTCTCTGAAGGCAGAGGATAAACATGGCAGGTCTCCTGGAGTAGAATATTTATATTTATAGCAAAGCCAACTTAGAAGTAGGAAATGGAATGCAAAATCCACATGGACTGCCAAGGCAGAGTAGAAAACGTTAGAAAAAGACAAGTTTTGCTTTGGATGGGCAGCATTGGGGCACACCCCTGGACCAGAATGGCCAGGGCTGACTTTCCTCAGTGTAGAGGGGCACTTTGGTGGGTCTGAGGGATCCTGGGCCAGCCAGGCAGGGCTGTGCCTCAGGTATGTGATGTGTTAGGAGAGGACGGAGCACTCACGCCTCACGCTGAGCCTGGCCAGGGTTCGATCATGGTGGCTCTCACAGCCGTAGGTGCCCTGGTCGGCCAGTACGATGCCATGGATGAAGAGACGGTGGATGTGGGCATCCTGGGCCACGGACAGCCGAGAGTCATGGGGCAGGGGCTCCCCGCCTCGCACCCAGCGCACGGCCCCAGCTGCACCCACCCGGCCTGTCTCCACCTCGAGGCACACATCTTGGCCTTCCTCCACGCGCACATCCTGCAGCCTCCGTAGAAAGAGGAGCTCAGCCTCTGGGGAGAAGAGCAGAGGGAAAAGGAGGGCTATAGAGCCGGGTGTGGGCAGAGGCCGACCCTCTCATCTCACTGGTCTGTCCTTGGGCAGAGGTGTCAGGGCTGGGGTACGGAGCAGCCTCGCTATTCTATGCCCATAGGGAGCAAACCTCGAACGTGGAGCCGGGCACTGGTGGCTGTGCCCCCTGCCTGGGCCGTCACAGTCCCTGCATCCTCGAGCTGGCAACTTCGCATGGTCAGTGTGCGGCTCGAACCATTCTGGGCAATCTCCAGCTGGGGTCCTGGAGTGACAATGGCTCCATTGCGCAGCCAGGTGACTTCTGCGTCTGGTGGGGAGACTTCACAGCGGAATATGGCGTCATCGCCCTCGTGGACAGTTAATGGTGTCAGCTCTGAGACCAGCTTCACCGGTGGAGGTTCTAGGGATGGATCAGGCAGTGAGCTACCTAGGTCTCCCCCTTTTCTTGTATCCCCTCCTTGGGGTCCATGTCCTCCTTCCTGTCACTTAACATGTTTCCTGAGGACTGTGTGTCAGCCATGAGGGTGTCCCCAAAGCATAAAGTGCCAAGTCCCTGCCACTCCTCAGCCAGCCCTACTCAATCCAGCCTAGGGCCTCCCCCGCTTTCCCAACTCCCTACTAATGATATATCATTGACCAAAGACTCTATTTGCACCATTTAATTTTCACAATGCCCCTGTAGGACACGTATTGTTGTCCCCCTCCCCATTTTAGAGCTGGGGCTCAGAGAGGTGAAGCAACTTGTCCAATGTCACACAACTACTGGGTAGCATAATCCAGATGTGAATCTGATTTGAAACTGGGTTGGTCCCTGGGTCACTCCCTTGGTTGGGCCCTCAGTAGTCTGTACTTTTAACCACTAGGCTACACTTCCTCGTATCTGAGGTTCTGGAAATGGAGCCCCAAGCCGCCTCTGAGTAACACTTGTGCACACATGGGTTGGAACTAGAGGCAAAGAAGGAAGAGGTGAGGGGGTGTGGGGATGGAGCATGGTCCTCGGGGGTACAAGGGTCCAAAGGGTGTGGGGGTGCACTGTTACCTTCCACGATGACGAGGAAGATGCGGCTGTCTTGGGGCGTGTCGCACAGGTACTCCCCTGCATCCCTGCTGTGTGCCCCCCGCACCCGCAGCACCTGCCTGGCCCCGGCCTGCTCCAGATGTACCCGCCCCTGGCTCGACAGGCGCTCCCCGTCCTTGTACCAGCGCACGGGGCCACCTGGCCCGGAGAGGTGCACCACCAGCTCTAGGTCCCCACCTGGAGTGCTGCGGACCCTCGTCTGGGCTGCCTCGGGGGCCACCACCCGCACGGGGGGCTCTGTGGGGGTCAGAGCTGGGGGTCACTGGGCAGGGACAGGCTCAGGGGCTACACGGAGGGTAGGGAAGAGGGATGGGGAATGGTACTGAGATGGGGTGAAGGGTGGGCAAGGCATGCCAGATAAGTGAGGAGATTCATGGGGTCTGGGGTGCTGCTCTCATAAACTCACCAGCCACCTGGACTGTGAAGCTGAGGCTGGGGGCCCCCGGGGCTGCCCCGCACTGGCAGGTGTAGAGGCCTGTGTGGGCTGGAACCGCAGACTGGATGTGCAGGATGCGGCGGGGGCCCTCTGCCTGCAGCTCTAGGCCCTCACCCTCCTGCACGGGCCTCCCATTGTGGCTCCAGAGCACAGGGGCACTGGCCCGCGACAGCTCACAGCTCAGCACCACTGGCTCCCCAGGGGCCACGCAGAGTGGACTGGGGGCCGTCTCCGGGGCCAGGAACTGCACGGGGGACTCTGGACAGAAAGAGGAAGATGTCAGCCCAGGTTGGCTCCCACCTCCCCCACCTGGGCTGGCTGGGAGCACCCACCGGCCAGGCTGACATTGAAGGTGACAGCCTCATCACGGGTCTCGCACACATACTCCCCAGCATCCTCGGGCTGGGCATGGGGCAAGGTCAGGGTGCGTGCAGGTCCTTCCGCGCCCAGCTGCAGAGTGTCCGAGGCTTCCACTTCCAGCCCATCCTTGTACCAGCGCACCTGCGACCCAGCTGGGGCCACCTCGCAGTGCAGCTCCACGCGCCCTGGGGCGCGGAAGTGCAGGTCCAGGGTGCGGGCCGCCGGGTGCACAATCCTCTCTGGAGGGGCTGGGACAGTCGGAGAGAGAGTATGTGAGCTTGCCCAGCAGGCCTTTCCCTGCCTCTCTCACCCTTTCACAGACCCGGCAGCACAGCCCCCTGCAGCTTGGGCTCAGGACCAGCTACGAGCCCTGGGCGCGTAACGTGTGCCAGGCACTGTGCTGGGCTCACTGCAGCCCTCTCCTGGGTGACTCCTGACCTCTCCCTAAGAGGTGCTTACTGTTGGCTTCACTTTCCAGGTGAGGACACTGGGCCTCTTTACAGGAGACTGGCTTGCCCACAGTCACACAAACAAAGAGGTAGACCTAGGCTCACACCTAGACCTATTTGAACCCACCCTGTGGTTCTGCGGAAGAAAGACTTGGCAATCTGCTTCTATAAGGATTACAGCCTAGGAAGCCCCATGGAGCAGTTCCACTCTGTCACTAAAAAAACCTAACCAAACTCACTTCCATGGAGTTGATTCCAAACCATAGTGACCCCTCCTTGGGTTTCCAAGGAGGTATCTCTACAGAAGTAGATTGTTCAACCTTCCTTCTGAGGAGTGGCTGGTGAGTTTGAACCTCCAGCCTTCTGGTAAGCAGTCAAGTGCTTTAGGCACTATGTTACCAGAGCTCCCCTACTCTGTTACAGGGGGTCATTCTCAGTGCAAATAGATTTGATGACATCCAATGACAACAACTGTAACTCCAGCCTCAAGAACAGTGCCTAGCACATAGTAGTTGCTCCCTAAGTACTTGCTGAATAAGTGAATGAAGGAACGCTCCTAAAAGCTGGGCTCTCTCCTACCAGATGCTTCATCACTGTCCCAACTGGTTTGGGCAAAGCAAGGCTCTTGGTTGAAAATGAGGAGCCTGGGGATGGGGGAGGCTGGCAACAGGCTGGAAGAGTGGCTTTGGGAAGTGGGGTGGGCTTGGGCCCCTGCCTTTCTACCTCCCTAGGGCCCCAGAGACTGCCCACCTGTGACGGTGACATTAAAAAAGGCCGAGTCATCTCCAGCATCACACACGAACTCGCCCCCATCCGAGGGCTGGGCGGCAGGCAGCACTAGGCGACGGTGGGGCCCGTCGCTCTCCAGGACCAGCGCCTCACTCTCCTCTACCTCCAGCCCGTCTTTGTACCAGCGCACAGGAGCATCCTCCCGTGACAGCTCGCACATCAGCACCACGCACTCCAGGCTTACAGCGATCAAGGTCACCTCATCCCGAGGGTATATGATCCGTACTGGGGGCTCTGCAGGGAGGGGACAAGCACAGCTGTCACAGACTCACCGCCCTCCTCCCCAGAGCCACACACTGACAATAGCAATAATGTGATAATAAGAAATAATAGCTCTCCAGTCCAGTGTCTGAAATCCCTGAGGGCAGATGTGTTTCAGAACCCAAAACTGTAGCACGAGGACACTCCATATTCAATCACACTAACGTTTCTGCAGAGTAACTCAGACACAGTCACCCTCAACAGGATAATCAAAGAGTATAAACAGCTTTGTGGCAGTTAAGCTCAGGTTTTACAGAAATGACTTTGAGTACTAAACTTACAGAAAGTCTTCATTTTAAGAGATTTTTGGGTGTTGGAACTATGGATAAGGGATTGTGGGCCTGTAATATGTGACATAGTGCCTATGGCATTTGACTGCTAACCAGAAGGCTGGAGGTTCAAACCCACCAGCCACTCCTCAGAAGGAAGATTGGGCAGGTGTTGGCATTTCGCAAACACAGACGCTTCTGTAGTGATACCGCCTTGGAAACCCAAGGAGGGGTCACTATGAGTAGGCTCCAAATCAATAGCAGTGAGTTTTTTTTTTTTTTTTTTTGCATAGCAAATGAAGGAGGCCTGTTGATGCAATGGTTAAGGCCTGGCTGCTAACTGAAATGTCAGCACCCACCCAGAGGCTCTATGGGAGAAAGACTTGGAGCACGTGCTCCCGTAAAGGTTACTGCCCAGGACATCCTGTGGGGTAGTTCTACTCTGCCACGTGGGATTACTGTGAGTCAGGATTGACTTGATGGCACCTAAGTACACTGGGCAATCTACTCCTGTAGAGATACCACCTCGGAAAACCAAGGAGGGGTCGCTTTGACTTGAACTGACTTGATGGCAGTGTTTTTTTTTTTAAGTACAGTAGCAAATGTTTTTTCACAGCTTCCCAGGGTACCTGGCACAGTCCTAAGTATTTTCCCTCTATTAACACATTTAAGCCTCCAAGAATCTTGTGGTTAGCTGCTGTCCAGTTGGTCTGCCTCACAGTGACCCCATGTGTCACAGAGAAGAACTGTGCTCCCTAGGATTTTCAATGACTATGAGGAGCTCTGGTAGTGTAGTGCCTAAGGCACTTGACTGCTAACCAGAAGGCTGGTGGTTCAAACTCACCAGCCACCCCCTGGAAGGAAGGCTGGGCAATCTACTTCCGTAGTGATACTGCCTCGGAAACCCAAGGAGGGATCGCTATGAGCTGGGTCTGACTCGTGACGGCACATAACAACATCATGATGTTTTGGAAGCACATCGCCAGGCCTTACTTCCCAGATGCCTGTGGGTGGGTTTGAACGCCGGTCTTTCACTTAGTTGTCTAGTGACTAGGAGTCTAGGGACTCCACAGCAATCCTAGGAGGTATGTATTGTTTCATACCCATTCTCCACATTAGGAAACTGAGGCAGAGTGTTTCAGCAACTTCAATGCCACAGTGGTTATCCTTACTCCAGGGCAGGAGGGGGAAAACTCATCTGTTAAAGGCAGCTTAGACTCTGCAGGGAGTGGTAGTGAGGATTCCACGCCAAGGCTCACAGCAGCTCAGTCGGGCACTTCACATCTGTGCTTGTGAAATGCCAGCACCTGTCTGAGAGCGCCCCAGGGCTGACTGCTCCTCCGCAGCTGCTCCAAAGTAGTCACCCCTCTCCAGAAAGGGAGCCTTGCCAGTATGGGCAGTGACCAAAGCACTGAGCCCCCGGGCCAGTCAGCACTCGCACCTACTGTGGAGGTCTCCTAGAATCTCCACGCTCCTGGAGACGCTAAAGCTCCTTTAGCCTTTGGCCTCCTTGTGGCCAGGCTGGGGAACTGCTGGCTTCCCAGTCTCGGTGCGCATGAGCAGAGCACACAGGCTCACACTCCGCCCTCCGCCCACTTGGGCCTTGAGCTGGGAGTCCACTAACCCCACCTCCCAGGCTGGAAAAAAAAAAAAAAAAAAACCAAACTCACTGCAGCGGAGTCGTCTCGACTAATAGTGACCCCTCCTTGGGTTTCGAGGCAGCATCTCTACGGAAGTAGTTTGCCCAATCTTCCTTCCGAGGAGTGGCTGGTAGGTTTGAACCACCAGCCTTCTGGTTAGCAGTCAAGTGCCTTAGGCACTACGCATCAGGCTTGTTGAGTCTGGAGGCTCCAGGCTGGTTCTCGGGGACTTGACAAGGCCTGAGGATTGCAGGACACTGCCTGGCTGAGGTGTGGGGCAGGTGATGAGGGCAGTGGGTAAGAACAAGGGACAGCCATGGAGCAAGGGGACCCTGCACAGTCCTGGGACTTCAGCTGTGCATCAGCTTTGCCTCTCCCTGGCCCCCAGCCAGGGTGCTTGTGTCAACTTCCTATGAACACTCTGGTGTTCTGTGGGGAGGCCAAATGGGGGCTAAAATTGTGTGGCTCTGGCCATTATGTCTGGCCAGAGTTCAGAGAGGAAGAGGGTGAAGCTGATTGACTCTGGGCAAGAATATGTGCAGACGTCTTCCTGTGGGTTGTGTGCGCCAGGCTGCAGGGGGGTGGCAGGTCCCCAAGAAGCAAAGCCTGGGCCAGGGCATTAAGAGAGGGTGACAAGACTGCTATAGCAAATGGGCACTCCAGTGCAGCCACGGGTTCTTCTGTGCCACCTAGAGTTGCCTAGGTCCTCCTCGCATCCCAACAATGGAATGGGCACTGGGGGCTGCAGCCTGGGAGTTTCTGGCACCGTGCCACCTTCACTTCCACAGTCATCCTATGCATTTTTCGCTTTGAACATCCTCCTCTCACCTGCTGCCGCCACCCCCATTCCGTGAGCTCAGCCGCGTCCTCTGTACCAGCTTTGAAGGCCCTTCCTGTTCCCTTGACCAGGTTAGCAGCCCCACTGCACCCTATTATAAGCCCTGACACCCCATGCTCTAAGACCCTGTCCTGTGTCTGGCTTTCCGGCGGGGCAGCATGCTACCGGAGGGTAGGGCTCTGTCTGTCTGTGTGCTGCCGAGTGTCGAGAGCCGTTAGCCGCTCCTGTGTGAATGGCGGCTTTCTCCCAGGTCCTCCCTGCCCTCTCCTGGTCTGTTCTCCTGAGCCCCCTGCCCCTTCCTTCACAGCACTTTTCACGAGGTGTCACTGTACATTTATTTGAGTGTTTATTGGTTTAACGCAGGGGTCGCAAACTCCAGTGCCCACAAGGGCCCAGGACGTATGGTCAGTTGCTGAAGCGGTCTGGGGAGAGGCAAGAAGGAGTAGCGGGGAAGGGAGGACTGTGGAATGTGGGCCCCGTATGACGGGGCAGCTGTTACTCAGCGCCAGCTGTTCGTCGCCAAGGGGGGAAACGGGACCAGAGCCGTCGGGTCTTCGGCTTTTTCAAGAGGGCGCCTAAATCCGGATTGTTATTTGAACTGTCCTGACTTTGGTAAGACTCTGTAGGCCAAACACAACATGTCTGTGGGCTGGAGGGGGCCCTGGGGACTGCCCGTTTGCGACCCCTGGTTAACAGCTGCCTCCCCAGCTAGACTGTAAGTTCTGAGGGCAGGGACCACGTGTGTTCAATTTCCAGGTCTGGCTCGGCTGGGCACATAGAAAGTGCTTAGCGAATGAGCCGGGGGAGTGTGGCTATTCCTGGCCTTGGGCCTTAGGAAAGAGCCCGCTCACTTGGATAGGGCCCTGGGCTCTTCTGGGCAGGGACCCTGGTTGCATGCACCCCACCCGCCAATCCGCCTCCCTTGTCCCCAGTGGGTCAGCTCCCCAGGGCTCAGGACTGTCCTTGAGTGGGGCTAGGAGGCTGGGGGGGCCCCACCTGTGACAGTGACGGTGAAGGAGGCAGATTCGTCGTCGATTTCACACAGGTACTCGCCAGAGTCTTCGAGCTGCACGGCGGGCAGCACCAGGCGGCGGACAGTGTCCTCCTTCTGCAGGAGCAGTGCCGGGCTCTCTACCACCTCCTCCCCATCCTTGGTCCAGTGCACCTCAGCCCAGGGCCGGCACAGCTCACAGGTCAGCACCACGCGCTCCAGGCGCACGGCAGCCACATACACCTTGCCACTGGGGTACACGATCCATGAAGACACATCTGGAGAGGGACAGTCATCACTAGGTGTGACAGGCCAGGCCTCTGGGCCTCCTGCCGGCCCTGACCCAGGCCTGTCCCCTACCCCTGGGAAGTGGGCCACATGTTGAAGAGGAGGGATACCCCTCAGACTGTCACCACAGCACAGTCACTCACAGCTGGAGACACACAGTCCCCAGATCTTTCATGGTCAGGAAGACACAGACAGTCACCCCCAATGCACAGCAGCTATGTGGGGCAAGGTGGGGCCCACAGTATCAGCTCTGGATACACTCCATATTCTGAGGGTTGGGCTAGGAAGGCAGGGAGCTGGGGAGAGGAGTGGTGGATCCTCAAAGAATTGGGGTCCCTGTAGGGCACATCCAGGTCCCCACATATTCTGACCCTTCTAGTGCCTGGGCCTACCTGCCCTAGACCCTGCCTTGAAGTACTGCCATCCCCAAAGACGGCCCTTGCAGGGTTTCTCAGGAGATGAGAGGGCAGGGGCTCCCTGGTACATGTGTAGCTGTGCTCAGTGTTTATGACAGTGCTTTTTTGTAGAGTGACTGAGCCTCAGGGTGAAGACCATGGGTGGGAAGAAAGGAGGGTGTTATTGTTATGAACTGTGTCCCTCAATATATACTTGTGGTTATAAACCCACCTGGGAATGGGTTTTCTCTGTTATGTCAATGAGGCTGCATTAGTGTAGTGGGAGGAAACCTAGTGATGCAAGGGTTAAGTGCTTGACTGCTAACTGAAAGGTTAGCAGTTTAAATCCATCACCCACTCCTTGGGAGAAAGTTGCAGCAGTCTGCTTCAGCAAAGACTGAAACCAAACCAAACCTGTTGCCCGTCAGGTTAATTCCTATTCATAGTCTCCATGGAAACAGATTGCCACATCTTTCTCCTGCAAAGGTGGCTAGCAGGTTTGAACTACCGACCTTTCATTTAGCAGCTGAGCACTTAATCACTATGCCAACAGGGCTCCTTTCCATAAAGATTACAGCCTAGGAAACCCTATGGGGCAGTGCTACTCTGTCCTACAGGGTGCCTATGAGTTGAAATTGCTCAACGTCAGGGTATGTCTTAGATTAGTCTCCTTTGAGACAAAAAAAGCAGACTAAGTGAACAACCAAGCAAGAGATGGAGCGAGGGAGATGCCACGCCACGTGAATACCCAGATGAGAAACTTGATAACAGACAAGGACCTTCCTGAGGGCCAACAGGAGAAAGAGCCTTCCCACAGAGGCGGTACCCTGCACCCAAACTCCTAGCCTCCTAAACTGTGTGAAAATAAATGTGTTTGTCAAAGTCACTTGCTTGCGGCAGCTATGCTACGGCAGTGCTAGGTGAGTGAGACAGAAGGGGTCCACGCAGCAGGGGAAGGGAGCAGGGGTGAGCACGACAGCTCCTCAGGCTGTTGGACCCCCACCTGTGATGGTGACGGTGAAGTAGGCGCGCTCCTCCCCAGCGACACACTGGAACTCGCCGCCATCCGGGGGCTGGGCAGCGGGCAGCACCAGGCGGTGATGGGGCCCTTCGTTCTCCAGTACCAGGAAGTCAGTCTCCTCTACCTCCTGCCCATCCTTGTACCAGCACACGGTGGCGTCCTCCCGGTCCACCTCACACGTCAGCATGACACACTCAGAGGTTATGGCATGTACGAACACATGCTCCCGGGGGTCCACAATGTGCACTGGAGGATCTAGGGGGCAGAGAGGGGAACCACAGATGCTGCACACATGGGAGACGCCAGGCCAAACGGGCTGCTTGGCCGGGAGATGCTCTCTCCGCACCGGAGTGGGGCCCAGGAGGGTAAAGGCTGTGCTGCTGTGCAGGGGTTCAGGGCAATGGCCTCCCCCTCTGCACCCCCAGAAGGCACTTGAGGGCATGACAGGTGAGGCATGGTGGGAGTTCATGGGGCATCTGGGTGCTCAGTGGCTCAGAGATGCCTGGGTGGGAACATGAGGGAGGAGAAGCAGCAAAGAATTCACAGTGACAACCACCATTTGTCCGGGCTGAGGAAAGTCACTACCACCAGCCACATCAGGGCCATGCTTGCTGCTGGGTTTATAAGGAAGCCCACGTGTGTTGTCCCAGGATGGTAGGGGGCACAGCAGTGGGATGGCTGACACCGACAGGCAGGGAGCTACTTGTCCCTGGACGCAGCCAGGATTTCTACTGAAGCGACATGAGCTAGTTCCAAGGTTCCCAAAGCTGCCTGGCCAGACTCAGCATTTGTGAAGAGAGAATCCCCGACCCAGATGTCCTATACGTTCTGGCTCTGCAGGCCTGGGGGGGCCGGGGCACGTGCATTTACAGCAAGCTTCTGAGGTGGTTCCAAAGCAGCCAGCTTGTGGACTGGCTCCCGAGACCACTGACCCCTGCACTGAATATTTCTGATCAGCTAAGCCGCAAGGGGAGCAGGCTAAGCTCAGTGTGGGTGCCAACTCCGCCTATGGCGTTTGCTGGCTGTGTGATAATGGGGACATCTCACAGCCCCTTTGGGACTTGTGTCCTAACTGTCACCTGGGGCTACAGTGCCCTTCATCTAGTGGTGAAGATTAAATGAAAACTATATACTTGAAGTACTTAGCATAGCACCTCAGGAGCCCTGGTGGCATAGTGGGTAAGGCATTTGGCTGCTACCCAGCAGGTAGCAGTTCAAACCCACCAGCTACTCTGTGGGAGGAAGATGAGGCACTCTACTTCTGTAAGGATTTACAGCCTGCTAAACCCAATGGGGGTCGCAGTAAGCTGGAATCGATTGGATGGCACTGGGTTTGGTTTTGGGGCTTTTTTTTTTTTTTTTTTTTAGCATAGTACCTAGCATAGATTGAGCAATGGGCTCAAACATACCAAGAGTTGTGAGGATGCTGCAGGTTTGGGCAACGTTTCATTCTGTTATACACAAGGTTGCCAGGAGTTGGAGCCAATTCAACGGCAATTAACAACATGCAGAGTAGTTGGCTCACTGTAAGCGGTTGATAGAGGTTACTCCTGGCTCCCCTTGTGTTAACAGAATTTAGTTCCCTACCCCACACTCAGTGGAGACTATGTATGGGGTAAGTGTGCCCAGGAGCATTAAGAAGCAAGTGTAGAGTGACCTTGAAGTGTGTCCCCTGGCCACCAGATTCTCCCTGTAACAACCCTGAGCAGGGCGAGCGGGGAGGGGCAGGGCTTACGCAGCCCTGCGGCGGCTTCAGCTAGAAGCTGAAGCCCAGGCTGCAAGGTCCTGACCTTGGACAGTGACACTGAAGAAGGCTGAGATCCCTTCTGTCCTGCACTCGAATTCACCACTGTCGCGAACTTCAGCTGAGGGCAGGATGAGGCGGTGTTTACGCCCGTCCACTTTCACCACCAGCAGCTCGCTCTCTGTCACCTCCTGCCCGTCCTTGTACCAGCTCGCTGGGAAGTCCACCCTTGAGAGCTCACAGGTCAGCACCACCCGCTCTGAGGTCGTGAAGTTCACTGCCACTCTGTCCCGGGGACTCAGGATGTGCACCGGGCTCTCTGTGGGTGAAGAAGCATGATCACAGGCTGCTTGGCAGTGGCAGCCCCCTGCCGTATCTTCTCGGTAGGCGCCGGGCACATCAGGCCCTACCCTTAAGAGCAATAGCTTCAGCGTGCTTAAGAATAGAGGACAAAAAACAAAAAATCAAACTCGATGCCATCGAGTCGTTTCCGACTCTTGGCAACCCCACCTTGGGTTTGTGGTATCTCTGTGGAAGTAATTGCACAATCTTCTTTCCGAGGAGTGGCTGGTATGTTTGAACTGCCAACTTTCTGGTTAGCAGTCAAATACCTTAGGCACTAAGCCACCAGAGCGCCTAATAGGGGAGCCTGCTAGAAATGCAGATTCTTAGATCCTCAAGGGTGGAGGGGCCAGGGAATGTGCATGATAAGCCAGCGCTCCAGGTGATGCGGGCGTCGGCTATGCCTGGCACATTTTGGGAAAGCTGCTGGGCATTTCCCTCCAGGTCATCTGCTGTGAGTCTGGCAGCTAACCGCCTCAAAGGCCAGTGTTTGGGTGCCAGTGAATTCCTTGGCCACGCCCTGACTCTCTTCCTCCAGGTGGCCTCATTCCCTCTCCTTCTGTGTCTCCAGGCAGCACAGTAAGACTCAGAAGCCAGACTGCCTGGGTTCATAATCCAGCACCTCCACTCACTGGCTATGTGGTTTTACACATGTGGTTTTACACATGTCACTTAGCAACTCTGTACCTCCACAGGCCACAGTGGGGACAATACCAGAACCTATCTTCTAGAGCTGTTGAGGATGAGAGGAACTGATACGCATGGAGTGATGAGAACTGTGCCTGGCTCACAGGAAGTTGCTATGTTAAGGGTCAGCTATTAGACAATAAGGCAGGAAGCCGGCAAGGGCAAGGAGTCAGGGACTGTATCTCTCAAATGAGAGGGTAACTGCGATAGAATTATATAAACCCCCAAGCGCTCTGGTGATGCCAACGGTTAGTGCTCTCGCTGCTAACCCTAAGGTTGGAGGTTTGAGCCCACCCGGAGGCTCCACGGAAGGAAGGCTTAGTAATCTGTTTCTGAAAAATCAGTTGCTACAAACCCTACTGGACACTCTGACACATTAGGGATCACCAAGAGTCGGAGTCGACTTGATGGCGACTGGTTTGACTTTTTCAAAAACTGCTCCAGGGAATTTGGATATGACACCGACGGAGACAACCATGGGTCCCGTCTGTCTCACAGGCACCGTAATAGGCCCTCTAGACCACTGGGCGCTCAACCCGAGCCCACCACATCCATGTCCCCTACTCCCCTGGCCCAGATACGAAGAGTGAGAACAGCACTTGCTTAGTTACCAACAGGACTGTGTCTTGATCCTACCTGTACACCCCGGTCCCCCTGCACCCACCTTGGATGGTGAGGGCGGCAGAGTCCTGCACTCCAGGGCAGCTGAAGCCGACCAGGGCCCCGCTGTCCTGGTGCTTGACTGACTGGAGGATCAGCCTGTGCTGCAGGCCCTTCTGCTCCACACGGTACTGCAGGGCCCCGGGCTCCACCTGGCCCTCCGGCTCATTACTCTTGAGCTCTTGTCCATTGAGGAACCAGGTGCCCTGGATGATGGTGGAAAGATCGAGGGAGAAGACGGCATCTTCCCCATCGTACACCTGCACATCCTCCAGACCTGCCACCAGGCGAGCTGTAGGCACTGGGGTGGGGGCAGAGTGTAGCCTTCAGAACCAGGAGAGTGGGCACAGGGCACAGGTTACAAGGCATGTAAGAGGACGGGGACTGAGGGCTGGGGAAGGCAGAAGAAATGACGGGGCAGGAACAACCTGGGGCATGAGCTGCTTCGAGGCAGGGTCTGGCAGGACCAGCTCACCGAGGTGGGCAGAGCCCTGGAACACCACGTGGGGACTGCGGCCATGCTCGCTGACTGTGCAGACACGGAAGCGGTAGTCACCCTCAGTGGGCACGCAGTCTCCTGGCACCTCCACGGCGCCAGCTTTCTCAATGCTGAAGCACTGAACCCAGTCTTCAGAGCCCACCTCCTGCCGCTCCAGCCTATAGATGAAGGGGGTCTCTGGAGCTGGCTCGGGGGGCTTCCAGGTAAGCAGGACGGTGTTCTTGTGGCCTTTGAACATCTCTGCCAGCACAGGCGGGCCTGGCGGACTGTGCTTGACGCCTGAGACAGAGGCAGGGTTTGCGCTCAGACCCTGGGCAGACCTCCCACAGCCCTTCCACCTTCATCCACTTTGCCATCCCAGGCTCTGGCATCTGCTCACCCTCCTTCCCTGGCCCTCATGTCCCACCCCTGACAACTCAGCCCCACGCCTTCACGCCCCCACTCACATTTGACTCTGAGCAGAGTGGTGGTCCGGGAGTTGCCCACACTAAAGGTGACCTCGCCAGCATCCTCTCGGGTGACCCCCGGCAGGACCAGGGCATGCATGTGGCCAGAGCTGCTCTGGCAGGTGGCCGGCAGTTCCTCCCCATCACGGCTCCAGCACCCCTCGATTCCAGCCTCTCGCGTTTCTACTAGGAGCACTGCGTTCTCTCCCTCCAGGACGTCAAGCTTCCGGGGCAACCGCTTCAAGATGGGCCCTGGGATGTGGATGGGACTCCATCAGCTCAGGGTCTGGGCACCTGTCTGTCTCAGCCTTGCCTCCTCCCATGGACCAGCCAACCTTTGACCGTCACATTGGCCACGGAGCGCACGCGACCTCGCATCTCGCACAGGTAGACGCCATCGTCGTCGGCCTTCAGCCGGTGGATGATCAGGCGCCGGACGGTGCCCTCCTCGATCTGCTCATACTTGCGGCAGGGCAGCAGCCGCTGGTCCTCACGGAACCAGGCCGTGGGGATGCGGGAGTTGGGGACTTTACACTCCAGCACGGCAATGCCATGCTCCCGGCCCTCTACGTCTTGCAGGGGCCTTGTGAACCGGAGGCGGGGCTCTGCAGAGAGGGGACAGATGAGAAGGTTGTGGAGAGAGGCCAGAACCAGAGGAGGCTCCTCCCACATCATCTAGTAGAGCAGCCCACACTGTTGGCTCTGCTCCCCCAGCCAGCAGGCACTGTGCAATCACAGCAAAACCCTGTCAGAGGCCATGACACTGAACCCCTCATTCCCTTGAGAAAGTCTATTTTAATGATCTTGGGCCTCAGTTTCCTTACTTGTAAAATGGGAAAAGGGTGGGAAGAGGTAGGTCCAGACCAGTGATTTTCAAACTGTTTCCTGTGGCCCCTAAGACGTTGTTGGCTGTTACCAATTCTGACTCATGGCGACCTCCCGTGTGCAGAGCAGAACCAACCCACAGGGTTTTCAAGGCTGTGACCTTCCGGAAACAGACTGCTACGCCTGTCTTCCGAGGCACATCAGGGTGGGTTCGAATGGCCAACCTTTCCAATAGCAGTTAAGCACTGAACCATCTACCCCACTCAAGGGCACCTTACAACTCCTACAAGAGTCTGTGCTGAATTTCATTTTAAAAATAGTTTGGCCATTTTTAAGACGGTATCTTTAAAGCAAGCAAGACTGATGGTGGCGATGCCCACTGCTTTAAGCTGGGCTGCTGGGAAAGCATGTCTGTGTGCAGCTCTGGGCTGTGTCTCTTGAAAGACACAGGGGGCTGGTCTTTCCTGGTGGAGTTACAGTACAGCACCAGCCTGGTGAGTTTGCACGCATACATGGGCACCAGGGAGTACACGTGGCACAGGTGCAACATATTTGACTACATGCCAGGCAGAACATAGAGAATTTGCCAGGTTTTCTCTGCCAGGTTTCTGAGGGGAAACGTTCGACAATAACTAGTGAAGGTGTAATCCTGGGAGTTGTGATGAAATCCTATCATAAGGAGCTTTGTCAGTGTGAGTTTTGTGCATTTCTTTTCTAAATGTTCTGTTTATAAGTAATAGAAGTATTTATTAGACATTGCTGATGATTCAATGCTGAAGTATAAATTTCCTTTCCTTTGACTTCCAGTTCTTTCAAACCCAAGAGCAGTTTAACAGTTATATATATATATATATAAAAGGCAGGATATCTTTCCTTTTGCAAGCTTTCATTTAGTGTAAAGAGCCCTGGTGGTGCAATGGTTATGTGCTTGGCTGCTAGCAGAAGGCTTGGTGTTCGAACCTACCCAGCACGTCTGCTGGAGCAAGGCCTGGTGCTCTTGCTTAGAAAATCCTAGGGGCAATTCCGTTCTGTTGCACAGAGTCACTACGAGTAGAAACTGATTGGATGGCACCTAACAACAAGCACCTTTAGTGTCAATCAGGAAATTTCTCCATGTGAGGCTTTGCAGTCAGGACTTCCCCACAGGGATCAGAGACTGGGTGGGGTTCTGAACCACAGTCTCCATTCAAAATGTATCTAATAAAATAGCCTCTTTGTTCTCCTTGAGCACCTTTACAAGTACATGTTAAAATGTGGACATAGATTTACTCCCATACAATGCTCCTTTGCTGTTTTATATATGGGGGCTCCAGATGGGATTTCAGTGGGGAAGGGGGAGAGTAAACAACAAAATGGTTGGAAATCACTGGACTGGAAGAGGTCAACGCGCCTCTCGGTTTCCATAGCAACCACTCCTTCCAGCCTTTTTTTTTTTTTTTCTTTTCCTCCAGAGTGGTTTTGCACCTCTTGTCTCAGACTTCCTTGAGGAGTTTTGTTAACAAGTTTCTAGAAGCCCTCGAACCTTAATAAATCTTACTCTTCTGGGGGTTGCATGGAAGACAGAAAACGGTTTCTTTCTTACAGTATTTCCCTCCCGTCTCCCAGGGGCGCCGCGGCACCTTTGACGTGCAACTGCACGGCGCTAAGCGTCTGGCCCGCTGAGTTGCGCGCAGCGCACACGTAGAGCCCGCGGTCCTTGGCCTGGCAGTAGAGAACCTTGAGCACGAAGCCGCCATCGCGGTCGCGGTACATGAGGCGGCGGCGGTCGGGCAGCAGCGGGCGGCCCTCCCAGTGCCATTCGATCTCGGGCTCGGGCTTGCCCATCACGTAGCAGCGGAACTTGGCATGCTTGCCCTCGTTCACCCAGAAGGTCTTGGGCGCGCACTTGAGCGGCTCCACCACAGGCGGGGGCGCCTCGTCCGGGTCCGCAGGCGGGCTCTCGGGGGGCTGGTGCACCTGCAGCAGCGCGCCGGCCTGCGCGCGGCCGTGCGGGTTGCGGGCGTGACACACGTAGACGCCAGAGTCCGGCAGCCGCGCCGCTAGGATGCGCAGCGCGAGGCTCACGCCGCGGCCGTCCTCGGCGCGGCCCGGCACGAGCGCGAAGTGGCTGCTGTCCCACACCTCGTCCAGGGCCATCCCGTCCTTCTCCCAGTGCAGCGTGGGCTCTGGCAGGCCTCCCACCTGGCACGTCAGCACCACCTCGGCCCCTCGCAGCACCCACTGC